TGAGTTTCCTGGTTTATTGTTCCTGGGGCCTCTCGGAATAATCTTTTGAAATATAATCCCCAGTCACATCTCCTTTGATGTTTTATTCTATGTTCTTGTTTTGAATTTATATCTTGTTTTAAATCTAAATTTTTTACACTCTTGTTTTAAATTTCACTTCACCTTTCACAGCTTTTAACAGCTTGTTTAACAGAGTCAGCTTCTCAACTATTTTCACTTGAACTTGGATTTTAACACGATTATTTTGGGGGGGAAATAGAGAGAATTTTTAAATTTGGTTTTAAATGGACTGCTTGGGGACAGGGTTTAGGAGTGATGATGGTGGGACTGGATGGTCCTGAAGGTCTCTTCCAGCCTTGAGGATTCTCTGATAATTACAGATTTTGGCAATAAAACTCAGGATATTTCAGGACAGCACTGAAATCATCAGAGCTGCTGATATGGGGAAGTTTCCTGTGCACTCAAGGTCCAGTGCTCAGTTGTCTTTCACTAATGTTCATTTTTCAATAATGTTCTTTTTTCAAAAATGTTCATTTTATTTTGTTATTTGCACACAGGTTACACCGCAGCATTCTTCCTTTTCCTTTTTCCTTTTCCCTTTTCCTTTTTCCTGTTCCTTTTTCTCCTTCTCTGTTTTTTATCCTTTCCCTCTTCCCTTTTCCTTTTTGTTTTCCTGTTCCTTTTTCCTTTTCCTTTCCTTTTTCCCTTCCCCCCCATCCCCTTCCCTTTCCCGATTCTTTTCTTCCTTTTCCTTTTCCATTTTCCTCTTTTTTCTTTTATTCCTTTTTAAATTATTCTTACTGTTATCACTATTTTTTATTTCCCTTCCCTTTTCCCAGGGTCAGGAACCCCCACCTTCCTCTTCCTTTTAACCCCTAGCGCAGTTTTTGTGGCAGTTGCCCTTTCCAGCGGCTCTCGGAGCTCTCTGTAAATCAGTAACCACCACCATTCCTGCTGTAAATGGCTTTTACCTCCCCTGGGTGTTTCTCTTCGCTCTCTCCCTGATTTAGGAGCCGAACCACCGGAGCTTGAAAAGCAGGAGGGAGGGACGGGACAACCTGCGGCATTCCCGGGGTGGAATCCGAGGGTGGCAGCGACCTTGGGAGCCCAACCTGTCCCCAGACAGGGGAAGGCACATTCCAGAGCTTCCCAGCTCGCTGGGAACGGCGGAGAGAGCCCCGGCAGGAGGGGGAGACCCCGGTAAAAGAGAAGAGATTGTGCTGATAGCGAACAAAAGAGCTGATGTGGATCAGGAACAGGAGCTTTGTGCGTCACCAGCACTGCAGACACTCCTTAAGGCACCTCAGCCCCTGCCCCTCAGCGCTATTGACGGTCCCACCAGTGCCAAAGCAGAAAAAAAAACCCCATGGAACTTCACTGCAGTGGTTTTGTTTAATGGCATTTTATTTTTTTTTTTTTTTTTTCAGGAGGAGGGGCCCATGAGAACCTCCTGGGGTTCAACAAATCCCAGAGCTGGTGCTGCCCCTGGGTGGGGGCAATCCCAGGCGTGAGAAGAATTCACTGAGAGCAGCCCCGGGGAGGAGGATTTGGGGGAATTCTCGTGGGTGGAAAGGTGGAGATGAGCCAGCAGTGTGTGTTGGTAGCTCTGAAATCCAACAGCACCCCAAAAGAGGAGTGGGAGCAGCTTGAGGGAGGTGATTGTGACCCTCTGAGACCCCCCTGCAGAGCTGCTCCAGCCCTGGGAACAGCACAGGGAGCACATGGAGCTGCTGGAGAGAGCCCAGAGGAGGCACCAAGAGGATCCCAGGGCTGGAGCAGCTCTGCTGGGAGGAAAGGCTGGCACAGCTGGGATTGTTCAGCTGGACAAGAGAAGCTTTGGGGGGACCTGAGTGT